ATTGACTAATCAATAGAGCCGATCAGCCGATTTGCATCTATACTCACGATTAGTTTCATAGGCAATTTATGCTAAGAAAAGTAACTGGCCAATTAAACACAATAATGGTTTCATAATCGTTAAGGCAAACCATTAAACAATAAATAAAATTGGTTAATTCAATTTTATAGAGATCAACCTATTTTACTGTAGCTCATACAATATCATATTAAATTTTATGAAATGAATGCCGCTAAGAGAAAACCCGCAAATCTCATCTAATAAGATTTACTAATTTTTTCTTGGTGGTACTCAAATGCTATCATTAATTTTAATAATCACCAAATCGAAAAAATCTGGCTGTATGAACTTATCGATTTGGTTACTGAAAAACATAAAAGCAGCTAAAACACTGACTATATAGAGTTTGGCTGACAGAAATTAAATTTCGAATAAATTTTGACACGGAATATGTTTTTCAGGAAAAATTTACAAATATGCAATGTCTAATCCTCATATAATTCAATTTTTTAATATAAACTAGTAAGAACCTCTCACACCGATAGATAAGAATTGCAATATAATGTATTTTTTTTTATATAATTTTGTAATATTAATTTTTAACTGAAATAAAGATTAATAATAAATTTTTTTAATTGATTAATAAATAATAGTTTTATAATATTATTATATAATAATTTAAAATACAGTATATTGTAATAGTTTTTTTTTTTTTTTTATAGTTATTATTATCATATTTTATTTGTTTATTAAATATTAAACTAAAATCTATAAAAAAAATAGAATGCTAAGTATTGATAAACATGGTTTGGCTTGGTATTGGCTCAGCATTATTTATTGGTGTTTTAGGAAATTCTATTTGGATTTTCTATATTGCCAAGGCCTTCTAAATATTTTGAAATGTCTAAAAATATTCTACAACACATGATAGCCTTAAAACCAATCAAATATTGATTTAAAAAGTTATAAAAAGAGTAGCTTTTGCTTTTCTAAAAAGGAGAGTTGTCTCAATATAAATTTTTTAATAAAATTATATTTTATCTTGTATTTTCTTGACATTATTAATAAAAACTATTCTTTATTCTTCTATTTTATTTATTTTATCTTTTCTTTTATTTTTTTATTATTTTTTTAATAATAATATAAAGTGAAGGCTGATTTCATTAATAGTATTTTGGAAAATATTAGCTTTATACTATTAGGATTTAAAAGCCACATATAGCTATCAACGGTCTGGTTATTAGTGCTTTTTTCCTCTGGTTATATCTCTAAGTTCTAAAGTCTAATAATTCTTGTAAAGGGCAAGCATTTGCTATACCTGACCTATACAAACTGGCTAATAGGTTTAATCCTAAATACACTTGTCTATTGCTAATCGCTTTATAGTATCTAGGAGGCTATTGAATTTAAATTCTGGTTTATATTTTTCTTTTCTTGTTTTTTTTTTTATTTTCTTTAAATAAAAACTTCTACTCAACACTTGTGTCTTTTAAAATTTACTATAACTTGCTAACCTTTAGTAAATTTTATCACAATACCCATTTTTTAAATTTTTTTTAAAAAATATCTCAACAAACTATTCAACAAACTTGTTTAGAAAATATTATAATTTTTAGAAATAGTACAAATGATTTTAAATCTAAAATTGATAATTGTCTTAATAAAGAATTTATAAAGAACTTAAATCTAGAATTGATAAACTATACTCTAGTTGTTATAATAAAATTGCAGATTCTTATCGACATCAAATATCTACAATAAATAGAATTAAAAAAGTAGATAATTTAATTCAAATTAATGAATTTAATACTTCTATGAATTTAATAGAAATTGATGAATCTAATATTTCTATGGATTTAATAGAAATTGATGAATTTAATATTTCAATATCTGATACAAATAATAAATCTAATAGTTCTATAACTTTAATAGAAACTAATAATTTAGTAAATTTAATAGAATTAATTGAAACTCTAAAAAAGGAATTAACTGAAGATGATTTAATTGAAATTAATCAACAATTTATAGATATTAAAGTTGATATAACTAATAATATAATTTCAATAGATAAAAAAAATTTTAATCAATTAATTAAACTAATTATTCAAAAAGATTTAAAAATAGAAACTTTAACTAATCAAAATAATTTAATATAACTAGTTCAGATGATTTAGGTAATTATTTTTTTATAATTATTTTAATTTAATAATAATTATTTTAAATATTAAATTAAATTATTTTTTATAGTTTAAAACTATTCATTTTCTCAGCAATTAGAATTATTAACAACTATATTATTAAAATATCAAAGAGAAAATAATGAATATTTATTAAATCCTAAACAATTTCAACAAATAATTAAATTAAATGAACCAAAATTAAAAGGATTTTTTGATAAAATGATTAATGCTTTAATTCCAAAAAAAAGACTTATTAAAAATATAGAAAAAGCAAAAAACAAGTAGTTGCATATTGCTATTTTTTAGTTGGAATATGAAATAAATTTGCTAATAATTTTAAATTAGATCTTGGACTTTATTTACAATCATCAGGAATGACTAATTCTAGAATTAATACATTATCAAATATTGGATTTAGTGTTCATACAAAAACAATTCAAAAATATAAAAAAGATATTGCAAAAGCTTATTTAACAAAACTTAATGAATATATTAATCTAAATATAAGTTATAATTTAAATTTTTATTTATATTTTAATTTTAAATTTATTAATTAAAATTATTATTTTTTAGACAAATATTTTTTATTGTTTTAGTATTAATAATTTTCATAATATTCATGGAAAACGCAGATCAAATACAACATCACTTAATACTGTAAATCATATGGCAACATGTGTAACAAAACCAATTATTAATATAGCTCCAGCTTCAGCAATTATAAATAATAATTTATTTAATAATTGCTCATTTTTTAATCCAAATAATATTGAAGAATTATTTATTATAAAATATTTATATGATAATATTAAAGGGTTATTTGATATAAGTTATAATATACAAAAACTTAATTAGATAACTAATAATATTCAATTTGAAAATCAAAATCAAATTGAACTACTTACTATACATATATATGATGATACAATAAATGAACATAAAGAAGAAAGGTTAATGAAAAATATTAAAATAATTAGAGTACAAAAACAAAATCTAAAATCAACAAATGATTATTTAAATGCATTAAAAATAATTACTTCAATAGAATCATTTCAGCCATATCTTCAAGAATATATTATACCAATAATTGCTGATTGGCCAGGACAATATTTTATTCAAACAATTTTAATACATTATTATAAAAAAGTTACTACAACAGAATTTAATGCTATTTCAGTTTCTGAAAATATTAGTAATTTTATTCCAATTATTGGACCTCTTCATATTTCTTTAAATTTTTGTGAACAAGTTATTCTTGTTTATTATTTATTTTTTAAAAAATTTTTTTATTATTTATTTGGTAGAAAAGCAACTTTTGCAAAAAACCCTAAATCTTGGAGAATTAATTTATTACTTGAATTAATTCATAATGGGTAGAAAAAAATATCACAAAAAATTTTATTAAAATTTGGAAATAATTGTAAAGATATAAGAATATAGATTAATATTAGATTTTTTAGATAATTTAGTACTATCAACTTTGGATATATATGCAATTCTTTTTAGATCTAGATATTTTAATCAATGTTTTGATACTTTATTTCGATTATGGACATTTGCACTTCGATGGAAAAGAAAAAATTATAATAAGGCACCATTAGCTTTTATTTCAGATTATCTTTATTGGCAACAAATTAACCATCTTTTAGCAAATATAATATCACAAAATTTAGTTAATTTTAATGATTATTTTGTTGAAAATTTTCATAGTCATTTACGAGCAAATATTAATATTAATTATATATCAGATAATATTATTGAACAATTATATTTATTAGATATAATGATAATAAATTAGATGATGAAAATAATAATGAACTAGAAGAAAATAATATAGATAATAAACTTCAAATAGCTATTAATACTATTG